TCATCATTTCTGTATATCGGCCTGATTCCTCTATTTTTCTTTTTGGCAATTTCTTCCCTTGATGATATTTCCAATACGTAATTTGTTGATGGTTTACTAGTGTTCTTGATTTTTTTCAGGTTCAACACAACTAGAAATTATTTGTGTTGATTAACTTACTATTGCTGTTTGATTTTATATGGTTTTAACTTTCTTATTGATTTATTTATTTATTTGAGGATTGCATTATCCTTTGGTTTAATTCTAGTATTTTCTAGTTTAAAGTTAAAGAATGGAACTTTTTGCATATTTAGTGGTCTTTGATGTGCCAATTTCTTTTTTTTTTTTTGTGTAAATTGCAATCAATTCATCACCTTTGTTGCACTAGAAAATATGGACCTTAAATCATGTTGCATTAAATTGCAATAAAAATATTTGATTGCATCATTGTGCTGTTTGATTGTGGGATATTTTAGTTGGGCCGAAATAAATAAATAATGTCTTTATAGGTTATTTTTGTTGGGCTAAAAATAATAAATAATATCATTAAAAAAAACTATGTTAGGTTTATTTTTAAATAACTACGATATGGCTATGAGAAGGTTTAAGTTTGTTCATTTGATGGATGTATGGTCTTGGAAAATTATTATGGCGGATTAATGATTAGGAATATTCCTTTAAAAAAAAAAACTATTTGATCGCCAAATACGTGATGCAATAATCATGTATGGTTAAACAAAAAAAAAAGAATCATGTATGGTGAACGTTGATCAATTTAAAGAAAGGACAGTACTTCATGAATATTCTTTTGATGATGTTTTTATGAGAAATTGATTTTGCTGTTATTATGTGAATCTATATGTGATGCTGTTGAATCTGAATTTGCATTTATGATAAATCTTGTTCAGGAATTTGAGCCTATAAGTCATCAAAAGTTAGAACTGAAAGTTTGCGAACAAATATGAACTTGAACTTGCATGTTGGTATAATTTCAGATTGTTAAATCGAACCAATCAATGACTATAGTTGACAAATTACAAGAGCAATTTAAAAATACAGCTCTTGATGAAGTGCAGGTTGATATTATTCTTTTTATAAATTATTAGATATTTTCTTGTTTTTCAGTTCAGTGACATGTAAATTCGTTGAGCAAACTTTATGACGAGAGCTAAATGAATTCAATATTGATGGAATTTGTTTATTTCAGAGAAACTTGAACTATGAAACTGCATCCTTTTGGTACATCCTAAAAGGGCATAATTAACCACAATTATTTTTTATGTAATTTGGCTAGTTTTTTAAGAGTTTTTTCATCTATAATGGGTACATCCTAAAACTGCATAATTAACCACAAGTATTTTTTATGTAATTCGGTTAGCTTTTTTAAGTTTTTCCATCTATATTGGCTAATTATGATTGTGTGATTTGCTTGCTCGCAATTGCATTTGCAATTCACTTTATTGGATTTATTTATAAGCCAGTTTTTTTGGAAGCGCATTAGAATTTTAGCATTTATTATTTGTTATATCATTTGCATAATTTGCATGAATTACATGATTATATTCATGAAAAAGTTTTCTATAATTTGGTTTGTATTTGGCTTTTGATTGGCTTAAGGGTTGTGATGCGGGAGCGGGAATCTTCCAATTCGCGAGTACAAAAGTTTCCTGTGGAATCTTGATACCGTGTTTGTGCGGTTCCATAGGTCATGGACTTGATCCCGCTATGCATGATTCAATTTGTCACGTGATCGATGCTATGACTGTGGGCCAAATGAGCAATTTTCAATCTAGTTATCAATTTCAATAGTTTTTATTCCTTTTCTATTTTTTTTTCTTTATTTCCAGTAAGATTATTTTATATTAGGAGCATATTTATATGTTTTATTTTGTTATTTTGAGACCTTAGTTTTGTTATTGAGTATTTTGGAGATTGTATTTTTTGTTTTCTACTCTAAGGGGTGTTGTATCCTTTTCTTTTTGCAAGTGGTGTATTTGTGTCTTGCTCAGGAACAGATGGTGAACTTCTTCGTCGCCTTTCTCTTGCTTCGTTGTTCTTGTTGTTTTCACCCATGTCAGCAGTCGATCAACGACGATCCCCGTCTGAATGCCATTTCTAAATACCTTTTGGAGCTCTAGAATAATATCATATGGTTTCAAAGCCCATCGAACTCTAAATTTTTAGGGTTTGTTTTTCTTATCCCAATTCAAAGTTCTCAAAAAGAAATCCCTACCATTCTTTATCAATTTCTGCTACAATTTCTCGCCTAATTGTAAATTATCAATATTTAACTTTTCTATCTCCACTAATAAGTAGCTCCAACATCTATCATAGAAAATCTAAGCCTCTGACCAATCTTGATTTGCAATTGTACATTTGCCGAAAATCTAATCATGAAATACAACATGTCACCTAGGAGATACCCATGATGAGGTGTCCAATAATTTATTTTTGAGGGTATGCAACTGAAAATCCTCTAACTAAAGTAGAGGCTTGCCACTTTTGAGTGGAGTCAATCTTGTGATGTCATCTATAACTACAATGGTGACTCGTCAGATCGAGGGGTGAAATATTAGAGGAGAAGTTAGGATTTTGTTGTAAAGGTGAATATATTGAATTTTGACAGTAGCATGTTTCCAAATGAGTTTATTGAGAGATTTTAAACATTGAAACAAATTTTGGAGTACAAAGACGTTCCCATGGATAATAGTAAATTGTAGCTATCAAGCTCAAGAAAACATTTAGAGTTGCCTAGAACGAACATGTGCATTGATTTTGTAATTGAGTTTTCTCAGAAACAATAAGATAGTGACTTTTTTTTATGACGATGTAGATCAATTTCAGAAGCTTTTTATGAGGAAGACAAAACTCCTATCCGGGGAGAGTAACTCGACCCAGGACATTTTTCCGTGATGTGGGAGCTGGAGTTTCTGTAGAATCGCGATCCCGTGATGCATCATTCCAACTTTCACAGATTCAATGTACCTTAACTATGAGATACCAAATGTGCAATTTTCAATCGGATTATCAAATTCAACCGATTTTTTTTTTTCTTTTCTGTTATTTCATAATTCTTTATTTCCAATTAAGGTTATTTTTTTTAGAAGCATATTTTTATGTTGTATTTAGCTATTTTGAGACCTTGTCTTTGTTTTCGAGTATTTTTGAGATTGTATTCCATGTTTGCCACTCTAAAGTGTGCTATATTCTCTTGTTTTGCGAGGGTGTATCTGTATCTTGCTTAGGAACATGTGGTGAATCTCTTCGCCGCTCATATCTCGTAATTTCATTGTTCTTTTTGTTGTTTTTAGCCAGGAACAGCTCATACACACGGATCCCTTTCCGAATGCTGTCAATACTTTTTATTTCCACTTCCTTGCTATTCCACAACCACCTTCCCGCCAAACCTGCTTACTAAATATTTTCTAGGAGCCCTCGAGTGGTATCAGATGGCTTGGGTGGCTGGGGCTTTGTAGCTACTTTATGACATCAAGGATGAGTATTAAAGCTGCTGTCATTTGTGATGTTTGGAGGGGTGCTGGCTTTTGATTTCGTTGAAATATTATGTTTTTTTTGTAGCGTTTGGAGGGTTTTAGTTTGATTATTGATGACTTTGTTTTATATGGCATTTGTACGGCGGCAAAAGGTTTTCCTGGACTATTACTTATATTGATTCGGCTTTGTTTAGCTATTATATCTGTGGGAATCTGAATTATAGCCATTTTTGCATAGATATTTGGATGATCTGAGATTTGTTCCTTATGTTATGTTGTCGTCCAACTGACTAGAGAATTAATGATTGTAAGTAAATTTTTTTTGAATTTAATTAAATATGTTGATTCGATAAAATTTCTCCTTTTAGTTTTGATCTTGTGTAAAAGTTGGATGTGTTACTCCTTCAAATTAGTATAAGTGTAACTACAAAATCATAGTCATCATTACAATTGTATGATATTTGTATAAATGAGCAGGTCAATAGGAATTATAGCAAACACTTTAAGAATGTTAAGCAAGATTATTTGAATGCAGTCCACATTTGAATAAAAAATGACAAGTTAGCAAATTTTGAGTGCCCTTGAGAGTAAGATTGATATCCTCTACTACAAATTTCTTGGGTGGAAATATAATAGTGATTTTCATAATATGTTCATACCCTTTTGTCTATTATTACCATATCTAATTCATTAGATATGGAATGTGTAGTAGAAATTAACATAATAATAAGATCTCACTCTCTTTCTCTCTCACTCATGCGCATATGCACACTCTTAGAATTAGTCATTTCTTCGTTATGCATGCTTGCTTTTGCTGTCATGCCTATTGGCATCCAAATAAACTCAATTTAAAATGAAGTAGATCAACAAAATGGACTTGTAGAGTTTCGATGAGATGAATTTAAATTCTTTGTTTCCACGTTTGCCTCAGTCAGTTAGTATCTAATCGGAAACATTCCACATATGCTCTCTATTTTGAGAACTTCGGCTTTACTTGGATACCATCATTAAACTCCACCCTTTTAGCCAGTCCATCTACTCTACCTCCTCAGCAAGCAACCCACACCACTTGCCTTCTCATAAAGTCTTCACCAAAATTTCTCACAAAATTATCCACAAATCTCTCCATAAATTTGGATTCAATTAAACCCATAGAGATTGAATCAAATCTCCTTTTACATTCACCTTTTGTATTTAGTTTGATCCATTTTCATTTCAATTTTTTCCTTGATTGTACTCCAAATCAAGCCAATTCCCCCCAAAATCATCATAACACGGCACATCTGTCGTCAGATATCAGTTTTTATGAAAGCTGCGTGTCTCAGTTTATCTTTTGGAGATTTAGTGCTTATGATGGAATGTCGGTTTGATATCTCGATTTTTAAATAAGAATTTGTTGTGAATGTCATCAGTTACTGTCTTCATTAAATAGGAAGGTGAGATGGTGCTTTTTGATCTTTGTCAGCAGAACTAATTTTATACGTGGTGTTTAATTTCGTGCATTAATATTCTGTATTATTGTTTCAGCTTTATGACATTAGATCCATGAAAGAACTTGAATCTTTTCGAGGGCATCAGAAGGATGTTACTGGTGAGAAAATTTCCTCAGATCTACATTTTGTTAAAACTTTCTAATCATTTGCTCGGTTATTTAAAAAAAGAAAAAGGAGTTTTACGTCAAATTAAGACACATGTTTGTTTGATTTCAATGATTCATTTGTTTTGGAATTTTCTTTTGGTTTTTCACGGAAAATATGTTGCATGAAGCAATATTTAAAGTGGAATTTATTTTAGAGGGAAAAATGAACCAAAGCCTGTTGCTTCTTTGTTTGAACTGTGAATGGACTTCTATTCACTTACATGAAACGGGTCTTTGCAAGTGATCAAGCTTGTTAGAATAATTTATAGCAAGATTTTGGCTTGGTAATTTATTTGTTTATTTTTCACTGCTAACGGATAGGTCACGTATGGCGTGATTTATGCACAAGGAAACTAATTTAATTTGCATACATTTGAACTGTTTAAATGAGCTTGTATTTGTTGGATATCACTTGTCCGTCTACTTTTTATTTGATTTTCATAATTGATGACCATAAATCTTTGCATAGTTTCCACTAAAACCAAATGAAATGAAAATAATGTAGGTGGAATTGATGAAACTTCTATATCAACAAAATTGTTGTAAATTGAATTAAATGTACTATATAATTTAAAATTAAATGCATACGTTATCATAACTAATGTAGAATATTACTTGGATATTTGTTAAAATATAGTTGCTTTAAAAGCTGCAAGATAGATGATGAAAATACTAGAAATATAAGGGTATGCTTGCCACATATATAAGAGTAATATTTGATTTTGTAAATTCTGGATCTATTTTCAAATCAGGTGACATTGCCTTATGCTATGTTTGATGTTGGCCCCAAATTTGGATGAACAAAAGGTTAATAGGTGATGTTAAGTCAATAGTCAAGACAATAACTTATGTAAATACTAATGACATTGCTACCAGAGTCAACCCAAACCACAATGGAAAAACAAATATTTTTATTTGCAGCAAATAAACGGTTACAAAATCACAACGAAAAGGAAATATAACAACAAACTCACAAAATTAAAAAAGTCAATTAAAATGGGTCCCATGAGTGGTGATCGGTGAAAGAGGTTATGAGTTGGTTGTCGGTGCGATCGAGAAGGTAAGGGGAGGGTTGGTCAGCTGCAGGGAGAAGGTTGCGGCTGTGACTTGCAGTGTGAGTTGTATGGGCTGAGACAACAATTAGGTCACAGGGAGTTGGTTTGACAAGGCTAGAATTGTAGCTAGGATGTGGGGGAAGGGATTCCTTGATCTTGGATAGCAGCAAGGTGGCAGTAAATAGGTTGGTTGGCTGTTGGAAGGCTACGATGAGGAATGACAACATGGTGGGAGGGGGCTAATTGGTAGGCGGTTGCAGGAAAACAATGAGAGTGTTTGCCGAGTGGTTGCAGCGAATATGGTGAGTCTTTGCGAAGGCAAGGCTGTGTAGGAGATGTGGCAGCGAAGGGGATGGCTGGAAAGGGGTTTCAGAGGAGTTGACTTGTATAAATATCCCTGTGGGATCGAGCTACAACCAAAGTACAAGTCAAACCTTCGGAGAAGGTCACCGCCTCAGACATGATAGATTCAGAGCACCGCTTGTCGTCAGATACATTCCTAGAAGGGAAAACAACCCTAGCTGCTGACCTTGAAGCATGGAAGAAAAAACTAAACCCTAAGACAACATAACAATATATTTACCATAAGTACTAGTGGTTAGAATTGGAAGGAAATACAAATAAGACAAGGGATCAAATAGGAAAAAGGTACCGTGGTAAAGTAGCTGCTACAACACCATGACCCATGCTCCCGTGTCAATTTCTCGGTTTTGGGGGAGCTTCGAATTTATTCATCGAAGCTTCTGTTTCCTTATAGCATGGAGTCAAGTCTGTCACATTGATGGTAGCAGAGATATTGCAATACTCTGGGAGGTCAATCATTTATGTGTTGTCATTCCACAACGCATCTTGATAGAAAAAATATGGATTCTATTTTGGGACATTTGGAGTTGGAGCTACACATAGCTGTAGGTTTCCATAATGGTACTCTCGAGCCCCTAAGTCTGAAACTCGTTACAGAGGAGTTCATCGTTGGCTTGCTAGCAAAGCGACTTGAAAAAAACTATTATAGAGGCGAAACTAGATGTATCCTTCAATGGAATCCCAGCAGCGACTTACATGACCTTCTCTATCGGTTTCTTCTCTGCTATTGTAAAACTCCTTGTAGGTCCTCTGCATTTTCTTTGCCACCAGAACTCTCCTTGCAGTCTTCTTCGTTGGAACTCTCCTATCAAGCAACATCGAGGACAACCAGTTCTCTCCATGCAGGTTGTAGCCCCTTTTCTTTGTCGCCAGAAATCTTATTTGTTAGCAACTTGCCCTGCAAAGGATAGTATTTTGCTACAGGCCCTTCTCACTGCAATGCCTTTTCCTTCAATAGACCCTCCTCCAAAACTTTTATCTTTTTTTTTTAAAGCTTTATCCTGCATATTATTTTTCTACAGGTTGTCTACTTGCCTGCAAACTCCTCTGCAACATTACCTGTATGAGTTTTTTTCCTACCTACAGACACTGCAGAAACTGCAATCAAAGACAACCGCAGTTGTCTAGTTCTCTGCAAACTCCTCTACAACATTACTTGTAGGAGTCTTCCGTCTACCTGCAGACACTGCAGGAACTGCAACCAATGACAACTGCAGTACATGATTAAGTCTTCAAGTTCTATCTCTCATGATTTTCCTCGCCTATTGTTTGATTTTTTTCTAATCCAAGTATTAGAAAATAATTTATTTATGTGAGAAGTTATGAGAAATAAATTATTTTATTGAATTGGATTTATTTCCTTTCTTATTTTGTTTCCCTTATCTCCAAAATAATTATTGAATTGATTATTTGGAGATATTAAGAGTTATATCTTTCATTTTTATGTTATTTCTTGTTTCTTTTTCCTATTTTAGGATTCATGTAAGGGTTATTTATACCCATTTTTCATATTAATGAAAATATTCCGTATTATTTTGAATTTCAACAAATATATGAGAATTTTAATTTGTTATTTTGCGTTGATTTTAATTAATTTTACTTGTATTTTGAAACAAATTAGATTTTAGCTTAAGGGTTTGACCGGCGTAACATTCTCAGATGATTAAGTTTAACAATTTAGGGTTTGCGTTGGAGCACATGCGGGTATGTAAGCTTATTGGGTTGAATTGATTTTTAAATAGTTTTGCACACAAGCATTCTCTGACATTCTAATTGAACATTTAGCATGGTGGTCGGAGCAAACGAGGGTATTTTAAATTTATTGATTTGAAATGAATTTTAGATAGTTTTATTATTATTTGCACACATGTGTTATTGTTGAGATTTATAAAAATATTTTTTACTGTCAATTTCACTTTCTGTCTGCTCTTGCATTTTGAGTTGTGGATCCAATGGTGAGTTGAACAAATAAGCATATTGTGAGTGTTGAATGATGTTGATATTTGTCTTAATAGGAATTACATTGCATGTCATGGGGTCCGCAAAGCTCTACTCATACCCTTATAAATAAGAGAGGTGGAATGCTCATATCTCCTCATATTTGCTTGGAAGCTTGGGGATTGAGTGCTTTGGGATAACCAAGGATATTTTGCTCTTTGCTCTTTGTGTGCAAGCTTTTTGTGTCTGCTTCAATTCTTCAATAAGTTTGTTATGAAATCACCTTTTCTAGTGAATTCAATTGAGTGTTTTTTTTAAATTTTTGCAAAATACTATTAATATTCATTTGAATTCTTGATTTTGCAATTTATATTTTAGTGAAAGTTTTGTCAAGTTTTTTAGTTTAGTCAAAAGTCGGGCAACATTTCGATAGTATTCCGACAACATTTCAACGTCTCCTCCTTGATAGGGAGGTAAAGAATCGAAATGAGTTTGTCCACCATGCCAAGAAAGGCATGTTTGGTGGCTTGCGCCAAGACCTTAAGCGGTGCATCCCACTACGCAATGCAATGCACATATGGGTCTTCAAACACTGGCGTCTCAATGTCTTCAAACATTCACACATGGAATTAGAGCAGTAGGGAGAATGTTTGGTAGTGGGAGGAAGAAAAGGGAGCAGGAAGGTTGGGTGTAAATCGGAGAACGAGAGGGAAGGAGGGATACTTGACAGTAGTAAGGAGAAAAGGGGAAAGTTGGGTGACTGAGAGAGTATGTTGGGGAAAGGAGCTGTGATCTTTTTGTGAGGAAGGCACTCGGAGAAGGAAGTCGGGTGTTGACCTCGGTTGAAAGGATTGGAGGCTAACGAGTGGGCTGGAGGAGAAGTTATGTATAGAGAAATTATTAATCTTTTTCTTTTTATTTATTTATTTTTTTGAATTGGCTTCTTTTGATTGGATGGCGAGGTGACAACACGTGAAGAAAATGGGATTGGCGGTGGAGCGGAGGGAAAGGCATAGGTGAAGAGTAGAGGGGAAGGTACGGGTGAAGGCAGCCGTTTGGGGTATATATATATTGTTCATCTTTGGGTGGAAAGTTGGTAGGTAGTTGCATTATCCGCCGTACCTTTAACTCGGGTCTTTTGAACACACACACACACACGTGTGTGGGTGTGTAGATATGTATGTATATCTTGATATATATGTATGTATGTATGCCATTAAAATTCATGCATATTCCCCTTGTATTTATCCATTTTGAATTGTATCATGCTCTCGAACTCCGTGTCGGGGTTCATGCATGAAAATCTAACAATATGGGTGTCGCTTTTAGGCAAAATTAACGTCCCATACACACTCGTGTTGTCTGTTTTACTATCAACAATCATTTTAGTGGCTTTGATGAAAATTGAGATGATTTGGATCTAAATCATGCTTGTCGTATTGAAGATCTAGTGTTTTCATCATGTTCACTCGTTCAGATCATGGAAGAACCTTTCTCGGACAATTTTGATCGTTTGGACGTGCACGTGCGATTCGTTTTGCGTGTTGATGTCATTTGAGTAATCTCAGTGATAGTCGAGGCATATTAGTCTTGATTCTTGTGCGTCGCTTATAATGGCAATGATCCATTTTGTGAATATGTATTATTGTAGTTCTGTATCATTCAAGGTATCTTATGCTTGATTGTGTTTTGTCGCATTTATCGTTTACTGCCCTTACCGCTTATGATGCACCCCTTTGGTGGCGTACATGTGAGGGTTAACTAAAGTCTTATGATTTTTTTTTTATCTCGAGGACACATACAATTAAGTGCCATGATAATTCATTTTGCGTGCATTAAGAAAGGTATATTGAAAGTTCTTTTAATTATTCTTAAAATACATATGATGAATAACCTTGCAGAACAAAAGAAATTTGATGGTTTCATGCTTTATGGAATGCTAAATCTAACTTTGTGGAAATAAACAAATGGAATATGTGATGCTTCAACTTGATTGTTTTTTTATACTTGACATGTATAAAAATGAGACGCTGCTGTTTTTCCACTGAGAAAATTAGTGGTGAATGGATTGGATTTGATTGTTCTTTCCGGTTCCCATCAGTCATTAGTTAAGACGAATTTTTTAAAGCAATTTATCTTGAAATATAAAAAACAAAGTTTCTGATAACATAATGTTTTTAACTTATGGCTGCGGAGCCTTATTGAATATTTTGGTTGTTTGCTTTAATATCTCTTTTTTGAACCAAAATCATAACATTTTTCTGAACAATTTTTTGCTTCATGCTTTATTTTTGGGGACAAATTGGAGATGATTTGAAAATTATGAAAAGGCCTGAATTCGGATAAAGATGACAAACAAGAAAAATGTAAGGGAAACCACACATTTTCTGAATTATAGAGCAGCAGCTTGTGTTCTCTTTTACTTGTTTTATGAAGTTCTTTGCTTTTGGTTTTACAATATGTGAATTTATATGCTTGATGCGAGAGAGATGTTCATGTAAATATTTAGCTTGCAACTGTTTGTTGTGAATCATTGCTATTTTGTGGTGTGTAACAATCATGTTTTTGCAGATAACTAGCATTCGATCATGTACTTCAAATTTTAAGTTGACTACTAACATTATTATGTTTGTTTCTACCTTATTGTGCTAGCTTTGGCTTGGCATCCATTTCATGAAGAATATTTTGTTAGTGGAAGTTTTGATGGATCCATCTTCCATTGGCTTGTTGGGTAATCCTTCTTTGATGATCTTTTATTCATTCAATATCCATGTCTCATGATGTTTATTTTGAACTCTTTAACTACTAATTTACTGATGTGTAAGTAGTAATCTTATACGCTTGCAAGATTTATTGAATTATAGCTCAATAATATGCTTGTGCTAGAAGAGTAATAGAAAACTAATTCTACACGAGAAATCTACTTATTGAGTGCCAAGTATATGCTGCTTCTTTTTTAAAATTCTTGTTAACATATCTAAATGCACCATAAATAACCTTTGATGCATAATGGGCTCAAAACTAGGATTTAATTGATGGGGGTTGATAGGCGGGATGGATGTAAACTCAATAAAGATCCCATAGTTTTATCATTGTGGGTCTACCTATAGACCCAATCAACCAATACAACAACAACAACAACAATAACAACAAGTCTTTCTCTACTAAGTGGGGTGGGCTACATGAATCCTTTTCTCCATTGCGTCTTATTGAGTGTCATATTTTCATTTAATTGTAGTAAATTAAGTTCATTTTTTATACAATATGCCCAAGTCTTTCTAGGTCTACCTCTGCCTTAACGTAAGTCAAATCTAATACATCCACTCTCCTAACCGGATCATCATATGGTCAAGAATTAATGTGACCAAACCATCTAAGACGACTTTTTCTAATTGTCCCCCACTGGAGCTACACCAACTCTATCAAAGATATATTCATTTCGCATTTTGTCTCTTAAGTGTAAAATCACTCATCCACCTAAGCATTCTCATTTCGGAAACACTCAACTTATTTATGCTTCTCTTTTAAAGGCCAACATTTTGCGCTATAGAGCATTACAAGTCTCACCACCATCTTATAAGATTTTCCTTTGAGTCTAAGCTATATTTTTTTATCACAATATAGGCCCGAAGCGTTCCTCCACTTCAACCAACCAACTCCATTCCCATCTATATATTCCCATCTATATCACCACTTTGAACAATAGACCCGAGATATCTAAAGCGATCACACCTTTTAATGATTTTATCACCATTGTTACAACTCTGTCAGTAGAGCTACTACTAAAATTACATTTATGTATTCTGTTTTAGTTCTACTAAAACAAAGGTTTTTAGACTCTAATGTTGACCTCCATAATTCAAGTCGAAAGCATACACCAAGCTGCATCCTCCTATAAATGTCCAGTAAGAGCAACCATAACTAAAGCAAGAAGATATGGGCTTAAAGCGGATCCATGATGTAATCCAACTGATATAGGAAAATAATCAGTCAATCCTTCTGTTCGAACACAAGTAACAACTCTAGTATACATATCTTTAATGACTTGAATATGAGTCATATCAACACCTTTCTTCTCTAGAATTCTCTAGAAGGATATCACTTAGAACCTTATCGTAGCTTTTTTCTAAATAAATAAAAGCATATGGAGATCCTCCTTATTCTCTTTTTACTTCTCCATCAAACCTATCAATAAATGTATAGCTTCTATAGTCGACTTGCCCAACATAAATTCAACATTAATATGAGAAAAATGTGCAATACATATTAACCTATGTTCAATTATCCTCTTCCATAATTTTAAAGTATGACACATCAACTTAATTCCTCTATAATTTGCACACTTGTGCATTCTCTTTTTTCTTAATAATAGCAACCAAAATACTCTTTCTTCACTCAAGCATCTTTTTATTTTTAAAATAATATTAAAGAGTTTAATGAACTAACTAACTCCCAAATCTTCTAAATATTTTCACTCTTCAATCGGGATTTCATCAGGTCCTGGAGACTTTACATGCTTGGTTTTCTTTAAAGCCTCGACAACTTTTTCCCTAATGTGACTGTAAAAATGAAACATATTATTATTATTAACAATTTTAAGATCACTAAGGTCTATTGTATCTTCAGAAACTTATTAAAAATTTTATCAATATAACTCACCCACCTATGTTGAATGTTATTTTGTGATTTTCACTCACATATATATTTTCACTCATTTAGTATCTAATCTATTATAAAGTTCACTAAAAACTGAACTTTTATCGTCACATATTGTTCTCTTAGACTCCATACAGTCTATTTTATATTTTTCACAATTCTCTTCGCTTTTACATTTAAAACAATTTTTATAACATAACTTCTTATATTTTATCTTTTCTTACACATTATTATTTCACAACCAACTATTTGTTTTATAGAAATTTTTCCTTTTGATTCTCCAAGTATATCTTTTGTCACTTGTTTAAAGTGTTTGTTACTTTATCTCACCTAGAATTTGCTTCTTCATGAACATCATAAATATTGAAATCTTGAAGTTTACTCATAAAAATAATTTTATTTGTGTCTTTTAGGTTCCCCATCTAGTTTTATGACAATGATTCCTAGTAATCTTTATTTTACAAAACATCATATAATTTTGTGACAATTATTTCAGTACGTCGCTTCTAGGGGACGATGTAGCATTTATACAATGATCAAACTGATTTATATCATGATTTCTCGATAAATTTTACGGTGGCTGTTGACTACCTAACACAACTCTTCACTTTTCATATCCGGCATTTGGGACCCGAAAATGCGAGTGTTAGACCCTATCAACCAATATTATGAGAATTTAAGCTGTAATATTTAGGAAGTTTGATTAACATTTGTGGGTTGCCTCTTTTTAGATTTTGATTAAAGTTGGTGGAAGTATGTATTTAAGATATGCTTTTGAGATTGACACCATGTCGTACATTGAAGGGTTATAATAGCTTGATTGAATGGTTCTAAGGTGTGCAGTATGATCACTTATGGTTCAGAAGTACTAGACATGATTGACAGTCTCAGATGCATGGCATGAACATCCATTGTCCTCAATTTTTGTCTTTTAGAAGCATGTCTAGGATACAAGGCTTTGTTTTAAGGCTTGGTAACATTTGAGCTAACTCCGAATTGGTATTTAATTGATATGTTAGTTTTATTTGTATTTATTTATTAGGGCAGATTGAGTGCTTGAACTCGTTCTTGAGATCCTTCACTTTATTTCCTACTAATTTCCTATGAGTACAAGCACTGACAAATAAAAATAATTGTAAAAAAATAAAATAAAAAAGAAAACATCTGATATGTTTGCTAGTGCAATAGTTGAATGAAGTAATTATTTGTCATTATGATGATCTTAGACAGATTTTTCTTGGAAAAGCTTGTGAATCAAGCGTGATTTGATTTATGGCCTTATAAGTTGGTTGGTTGAGGTATAGATTCTTAAGCATGCCCCTAAATGTCGGGGTTGATAACCTTTAGGACGAGGAATGCCCAAAAGTGGACTGAAAAACTCTAAATACAGAGAGTTCCGTGAATTATGTTTGACTTGATTGGTTACTGAGTTTATGTTGGCCCATTTAATTTGGTTTGTTTAATGGCCTTGTAGCGTGTAAATTGGCTTAAACAAATAGGTTGAGACTGATACCGGAGTTGATCCAAACCCCACAATAGGAAAAACTAATAGTACTTCTTGAAGCAAATAGAAAGTTACAATCAAACACACTTGAAAGGGAAAATACAACACTTGAAACACAAACTAATGTTAGGGCGGATCCCGGGTGAAGGTAGTGATGGTTATAGGGCTTGGTGGGATTGTGGCATGGTAGGGAATGGGTTTCCGGGTTGTTGGTGAGGAGCGGCAGCAATTATTGGTTGCTGGAACAGCAGTGCAGCAAGGGGCAGCAGCCCGGGTGAAGGTGGTGATGGTTAAATGGCTTGGTTGGATAGTGGCAAGGTAGGGAAGGGTTTTCCGGGTTGTTGGTGAGGAGCGGCAGCGATTATGGTGGGTCGGAACAGCAATGTAGCAAGGGGCAGCAGCCCAAACGACAACAGTTGGCTGTTTGGGGTGGCTAGACATCAGGAAAACAACAAGGGGAAAGCGTTGTGGCAATGACAGTAAGCTAGAATGATGGAAACGGCTGGGTGGGTGGTTGAAACAGCATAAAATAGCTCGGATGGCTGTTTCCTGTTGGCAAATGCGGGCAGCAATGACGGCAGCTGCGGCGGTGAAGGCGTGGCACAGCCCAATGAGGACTATCCAAGGGCTGTGGTACCGAGAAATAGCTGGACAATGAGGTACTGCAGGAAGATAACAACGATACTACGGTCGGGGCGGCTGCAACGAGGAGGAAGGCGTGGCAATGAAGCGAGAGGGATGTGGGACGGGATAGAGAATATAATCACCACCTGGAAACCAAGATACAGTCGAAGTACTACTTGGAACCCTAAGATGCATACCTTAAAGGGAAGAAGAGACGTCGACGGTTATCCCGATACAAAACAAAAGAAAAAACTGATTTCTAAACCCTAATACAATACATATATAGGAAATGATTCAAAATGAATGAAAGCATAAGAAAGGAAAATAGGGTTATTTCAACGCTTCTCCCGCTATAGCTATTCTCGCGGTACTATATGAGCTACAATACTGCGGAAAATTTGAGTGGTAAGAACCGGCGTCCGAGACTTAACATCAAGTGGAAGTTCTATGAGAGGGACTTGCAACTTTAAGGGTGGGAGAAGTTACGAAATTTGAGAATAAAGAAGCTTGGGAGTAGGCTTACAGCCTTGCTTTGGTGGTTTACTTTAACACACATTGATGCCCCTTTGATCAACTTTGAATTAACAAACTCAAAATTGTGCTCTTGGCTTCTTTGTTATACCAGTATGGCAACAAAAAGCACACTGGACTCGTATAAGCACGCCAATAAGCATTCCAACCTTTTAAGAAATATGCTAGCATATTGCAAATTGTATTGATGCAACTTTAACACCAAAGTTATCCCATATTTATGCCAAGGGCTCCCATCAGTGATCCCTTTTTAACCTAAATGATTATAATGCACATTTAAAAGTTTTTCTAAAATTAAGGTTTAGCTCAACTCAATCAAAATTTTTTATTTCGAGTGGAAGTTCAGCTTACTTGAACTTAACTCGTTGCTTGCCTTAGGTCCATTAATCTAGGTAAAAATATGTACAGCTTCCATG